AAACATATTATCTCTACTTTGTTGTCCAGAAGCAGATGTTGGCGCGTAAGGCCTTTTCACACCCGAAAACATCTCTCAGTCAGCAAAACGCAAAGAGAAAGTACGTAGAATAGGTGCCCACATCAAGTGTGTATATAGGATAAATGTATGGCGTATCAAATACCGATAGCGGAGAACGAACCATGAGACTCAGAAGTATTCGAGCGCATAGGGTAATGCGGAAAATCATTTACTTTAAGCCCCAGGGACACGAGAATACTGTGAGCAAATGTCCTTTCGCGATTTCCTGAGACCTTCCAACAGGCTGCAAGTAATTGCTCGCAAGTATCTTGCTTTTTCATTCTCAATGCTTCCCACAGGTCTCCCATCATGGTTATCATTTGTCAAGGATGATGCTTATTCTCCAATTATCCGCAAGACCCACAGGCGCTTAAAGTCTTACGTAATACTCGTCCAAAGCAACAGGATATCACATCCTGACTACAAAAAGTATACGAAACCTTGGTTTATGTTGTGCGTCTCGTAAGAAGAAATGACATAGCGTGCTACGGGAACTGTGCTGTTAAGCCTTTATATAGCGAGGGTTTAGTGGTTTAGAGTTGAAGGGGAAGGCCAGAAAGTCTTTTCAGATGCCTCGCTGTTTTATTTTTTGTCACCGTGTTTTAGGCGGTTGTACGTCTCGTAGGAATAAATGGTTTCTGATATAGCATGCTACGGGAACTGTGCCGTTATATCTCAATGTACCGAGGGTTTAGGGTGGTTTAGAGTTGAAGGGGTAGGCCAGAAGGTTTTGTTTAGCTACTTTGCTGTTAGATTTTTGTTTTCATTCTTTTCACCTTTTCACCCTTATCTTATCTTCATCTCTTCTCTCTCTCTCTCTCTATCTTCTTCTTCTTCTGCTGGGCTTGCAGTTCTCCCTTCCTCTCTGTCATTTCTGCGTATTGTTCTTTCCGTTCTTGCTTCTCTTTCTATTTCTCCACTTTCCTTCCTCTCCTTCCTGCTTCTTAGCTTTCCACCAGAAAAAGAAAATGAAAGAACGGCAAGCTCGTCTTGGTTTATCACTGATCACCAATGAGACAGGAGAGAAGAACAAGGAATAGAGCAATGAAGTCGAGGAAGGGGCAGATGATGAGAGCGAGGGCGTCTTGCTTTCCCTGAGCTTTCGGTTCCTTTCATTTGTCCTTTCTTCTTATGAAGAGAAAAGGGAGAAGAGCAGAGGATGAAGGCAAGGGAAGAGAAAACGTGTGAGCCGAGCGAAAGAGGAGTTCTCCCTTCCTGTCCCCACCATCTGCCTTCATCCTATCTTTTCCTTTTTGTTCTCTGTTGTCCTTATTCTCCGCAGAAAGTTTTGGAAAGGAGGGGAGGAAGGAAAGAGGGGAGGGGAGGGATGAGAGAGCAAGAGATGGCAGACAGAGAGAGAGAGAGAGAGAGAGAGAGAGAGAGAGAGAGAGAGAGAGAGAGAGAGAGAGAGAGAGAGAGAGAGAGAGAGAGAGAGAGAGAGAGAGAGAGAGAGAGAGAGAGAGACAGAGCGAAGAAGAGAGAGAGAGAGAGGGAGATTAACAAAAGAAAAATCTTGAGAGGGAAGGAAAGGAGAGATAAACACATCGAGATGAAGTGGTGTTTTCCCTTTCCCCTTCCTTGGTGTTATATCAGGTAAACAAAAACAATACTAATAGGAAAAGGCTAAAAGCGGCTGAAACAACAATATGGTCATGGGAATATTTATCAACAAAAGAGTATATTATCGTCTTAATTAAAGCAACACACTTGAGGGCGCTCAGGGTTTGTCATTTCCAGCAGCTCCTGTAGTTAGCGTTATTTATGTTATTATTGATTTTTTTAAAGTAGTATATTTATCGCAAACACCAGACCCTTAGACGAGGGTTGAATGGAAAACGGAATGAGAGGTAGGTGGCGAAGCCCTAGGAAAATAAGAGATGTGATGCCAAACATGGGAGCCCTGAGCCGTGAACCGAACTAGCCCTAAGCCATAAATTTTGCCTTAAACCTAAACCCCACAAATTGTATGTGTGAATTGAACCGTTTAAATAGCAAACAAAAAGGAAGTGCCAAATAGACCCTAAAGGTCCATGCCACAAACCCCTCTAGCCCTAACGCCCCCTAGCTCCTTCGACCCCAGAGTCCGAAAGCTTCTAGCGTCCCTCACCCCCCGCATGCATGGCGCCTGCGACAAGGCCGCAAAGGCCCCCGAAGAGGCGCAGATCTTCTGCACGCCTTTGAGCGACGACGTCTGGGCGCCCCCCATGCCCGGATCTCCTTCGTTCAGACTGTTTAGGGTTTAGGGTTTAGGGTTTAGGGTTTAGGGTTTAGGGTTTAGGGTTTAGGGTTTAGGGCTTAGGTCCATAGGGTGCTCAAGGCTCGAAGGCTACGTGAGGGTTTCGGGTTTAGGGTTGCCGGTCTCTGGGTTGAGGCTTTATGGTTAGCGAATGTTTGGGCCCAGCAGGGGCTGGGAGAAAACTCAACATGTTGCTTCAACAACTCCTGCGATACAGGCTCCAACCTTTTTCAAACTCTCTTGCTGCCACTCCTATCTCCCACAAAGTTTCGCCGGGAGCCTCTTCCTCACCTTCGCAGCCCCAAGAAAGACGCCAGCAACGAGTTTTAAACCCTAAACCCTAAACCCTAAACCCTAAACCCTAAACCCTAAACTCCAGTGATTTTTCTGGCTGTGTTGCAGGCACCATCTGCCCGGCACTGTGCACGGTCACGAAAACCCAAGGGCCCCACACCCTCTGCCCCAAACCCTAGGGTTTAGGGTTTAGGGTTTAGGGTTTAGGGTTTGGGGTTTAGGGTTTAGGGTTTAGGGTTTAGGGTTTAGGGTTTGGGGTTTAGGGTTTAGGGTTTAGGGTTTAGCAAACCCTAGAGCTAAAACCATGCCCCAAAAACCCTATGCCCCAAACCCGAGGACCCCGAACCCGATGCCCCAAACACTAGGACCCCAAACCCTATGCCCCAAAACCTCAGGGAAATTTTAGGATAAACCTATGCAAGCGCCCTATGCCCCAAAGCCTAGTGCCCCAAACCCTACAGCCCGAAACCCTGTGCCCCAAACCCTAGGCCCTAAACCCTTTGCCCCGGCCCCAGGATTCGACCAAAAGTAGCCGGCTTCAGAAATTGTCTACAGCAGAAACCACCCCCTTATTTTTGAGATTAGGGTTCAGGGCCTCGAAAAAGTGCCCACGAAGTGCGTTAGGGCTAGGGCCAAAACTAAAGCAAACTGCCCAGGAAGTCCACTCGGGTTGTAATTTTCATAGCAAGAGAGGGTTTAGGGTTTCGGGAAAAGGGTTGAGGATTTGGGGTTTAGGGCCCGGCCCGAAGCTGCCAAGTCTCCCCAGCAGAGGACGCTCCCTGTAGCGGTCAAAGCAGCAAAGGCGCGGCTGGTGGCGAAAATGGCCTTCTGGCTTTAGGGGGCTTCCAGGGTGTAGGGTATCGGGGTTTCGGGATAGGGTCTTGGGTTTAGGGTTTTGGGGTTTAGGGTTTAGGGTTTAGGGTTTAGGGTTTAGGGTTTAGGGTTTAGGGTTTAGGGTTTAGGGTTTAGGGTTTAGGGTTTAGGGTTTAGGGTTTACCGAAATTAAACCCCACACCTGAGACCTAAAGACTCTCCCCAGACCCAGAACACCCAAAACCCCAAACTCTAAACCCTCAGCCCTGAGCACCAAGAGCCCCAAAGCCCCTAAACGACAAGAACCCACCCCTCCCCCTTCAACCGAAACCCTGAAAACCCTAAATCCTAAAGCACCCTTAAACCCTAAAAAAACCTAAAACCTAAGACCCTAAAGCACCTTGAAAACGAAACCGCAATCCCCTCAGCCCGAAAACCCACGCCTTAAACCCTGCTAAGCACACCCCTAAACCCTACAAGCAAACCCCGAAACCCTAAACCCCTGAACCCTAACAAGCAGAAAGAAAACCCCTGAAGCCCTAAACCCCAAACCTGCGTAAACCATAAACCCTGGACCCTCAATCCCTAAACCCTAAACTCTAAACCCTAAACCCTAAACCCTAAACCCTAGCATTCCATTCAATTGCCTTCACGCCCTGCAGCTGCGGGCGCAAGTCGAGGCTGTTGCCCCCATACTGGGGCGAACCCCAAGTCTCCACCTAGAAATGGCGTTTAGGGTTTAGGGTTTAGGGTTTAGGGTTTAGGGTTTAGGGTTTAGGGTTTAGGGTTTAGGGTTTAGGGTTTAGGGTTTAGGGTTTAGGGTTTAAACCCAGGGTTTAGGGTTTAGGGTTTAGGGTTTAGGGTTTAGGTTTAGGGTCTAGGGTTTCGGGTTTGGGGAGTAGAGTTTAGAGTTTAGGGTGTAGGGTGTAGTGGGCGTAGGGTTTTGGGTTTATACAGGGCTATCAGGGTTTTAAGAGGGTTTGGAGGTAGAGATCTGTACGGTTTCAGGTGGGGACGAGAAGCCAAACAGGGTTCCGATCTTAGGGAGGGTTCAGGGCTAGACATTGGCCTCAGGGCGGAAAGTTTGCCGGTGGAGGCTTTGGTTGCCCTAAACCCTAAACCCTAAACCCTAAACCCTAAACCCTAAACCCTAAACCCTAAACCCTAAACCCTAAACCCTAAACCCTAAACCCTAAACCCTAAACCCTAAACCCCAAGCCGACTTGGAGGTTTCATGGCTACTTAAAAATAGGGTTCCAAGAAGGGTCGCCTATGGTACATCCTTATGAGGGTACAATTTTAACCCTACTTATAAGTACCCATGAACCTCCAAGTAAACCTTAAGCCCCTAAACCCAAAACCCGAAACCAAGAACCCTGAACCCTAAACCTGAACCCTGAACCCTAAACCCTAAACCCTAAACCCCGGGTTTAGGGTTTAGGGTTTAGGGTTTAGGGTTTAGGGTTCAGGGTTCAGGGTTCAGGGTTTAGGGTTTAGGGTTTAGGGTTTAGGGTTTAGGGTTTAGGGTTTAGGGTTTGGGGTTTAGGGTTTAGGGTTCAGGGCTTGGGCTTACGATCCGTGACCTGTCCCTCCACCGTCAGCGCGGCAAAGGCCCCATCATTGGCGCAGAGCATCGCGACGCGGGGCATATGGCCTGATGGAGGGTTTAGGGATTAGGGTTTAGTGTTTAGGGTTTAGGGTTTAGGGTTTGTTCCGATGCGGCTAGAGACCGTCTGATCGCGCTCTTAAATTCTGACTTGCAACGTCTAAAGGTTGAGGAAGCAACGTTCAGCGTGGTCGAAACCCTGAACCAGAGTCCTCCTAAAAACAAAGTAGATCCCCCCAACCTTAGACACTCGCCAAGCTCCAAGATCTGCCTCCGGCAAAATCAAGAACTCGACGACCTTCAGAGTAGCAAGCCTGAGTCCCTGGAGACACTTCAGACTTATGCTCTCGAAGCAATCCTGGATTTCTGAGTCGTTGAGTGTATCACTGTATCTCTGCCACCAAGCAAGGACGCCCTGAGCATCAGCTACGGAGTTGACAGCGCACAGTCTCTCGGACAAGCTTCGGGTAGCTGGAGCAACTGGAGCCTCATGCTGGGGAATGTCAGGCCGGAGTGTGGCCCACCACGGTTGTGGACCAGGCAGCTTTGCAACCGGGAGCCCAACATCAACTTCGACAGTGCTGGGTGCATAAGGCGGGAGGTCCGACTCAAGATGAGCAAGCATGCAAGATCGCGAGTGACTGAAATGCTGCCGCAACCTGGCCCGAACCCAGAACTCTTTGCAACAAACTTCACATTTGGCGCCCGTCACTGCCCTGGTCGCCCGAGCAAAGACTGTGTGCGACTTGGCTTTATGAGCAGCAACAGCTGCATGCCCACTGAAGTTTTCACCACAAACATCGCACTCTACAGTCCTGACAAGTGGCTCCCCTTCATCAAGGCTTTGGATGACCCCAGCCTTAAGGTATGCTTCCTGGGCGATGGCTTGGCCAACTGCAACGCATTTCTTGCAATACATGCGCAAGATGTTCTTGTAATCGTCATGGTCAACACGACAAGCCGCCTGTTCTGCAAACCATTCACATCTTTTGGCCTTTTCTTTGGGAAGACCACTCAACCACTTGCTCTTAGTGACCTCATTCACATGATCAAGCGCAACTTGAGCCTCATCAAGCCAATCCGCCGAAGCCCTCCATGTACAAGCTGAGCAACAAGTCTGTATCGCGCCGCTCGCAACGCCTCGACGGGTGCAAGCACTCTAACTAAGGCGCAGCACTGTTCATCGGAGAGGAACTTGCTCGAACAGCCGGTGACTGGTCGAACCGAGCGTCGAACAAAAGACATGTATGCAGAACGGTACGCGGAAAAGGCAGACCGCGTCCCAAGTCGCCACACGCCAGCTCCGTGACAGAACTTGTTGAGTATCATGGTCTGTATGAGCCTCGTTTTTTCGTCTCGGCTAAGGTGAGGGCTGAAAAGCAATCGGCGCCTCAAGGGCTGAAAAACTGCCTCTGTTAGCCTTCTTCTACGAGAGATGTCATCAGCATGGTTGCTCTTCAAGCTGGCAACGGTTCCAACATGAACGTAGTGATTAACACATCGCAAGCGCACAGTTTCACGCTCAAGCTGCACCTCAATCTCCGCTCCATGTTCTATCAGCGTCTGATGTCGCGCAGACTTGGCTCCAACCCCAGCAAAATGCAGCAAGGCTTCGGTTTTGCCAGGGAGGAAGTTGAGGGCAACTCCAATGAGCTGCATACTTGCATGTGCGATCGCAGCAGCTTTTGCGACGTCATCCGCAAGTTGATGCGCGCCCGCACTTTCAACTAAAACTGCAACATCGTCGAGCCAAGTTGGGACAGGCGCAGATAAATCCTCTGCAACCCCTTCAACACGTACGGTAGCACGCAGTCCTGCGTTTTCCAGGGATTTGATCATGTGGTCAACAGCAAAAATCATAGCAACCTGAAACAGCGCGTCAGCCAACGGGGACCCTGGTATGGTCCCCGCTGTTGTTCGAAATACTTCTTTCTTTTCAAGCACACAAGCAAACCACGTCCTGGCAAAGGTAGAAGCAAGCAACGCCCTGATCGACTCAGCAACTTCAAGCCGTTCCAAAAGCGTGGGTCCATGCAACAGTGCCGCATTTGTGCCTTTAAACCAGCATCTACCTGCAAACTGTCAACCCATGAGTGCAACTCACCGCTGTCTTGCGCAGGGAACAGCAGCTGTCGGTTGACGGAGTAGAAGGCGCTAACGCCGTCTAGAAACAAAATGCCTCCTGACAGGTGACATCTCTGCAACTTGGCTAGGTGTGCCTGGACAGCAATAGACGTGGTGGCAGTGGGATGGCCCCTTCTTCCTCCAGAGAGCCCGTCAGGCGCGGCCTTCTCTACAGCGTTGATAACGTCCTGGCGTATGGCTTTTGCAAAGGCCTTCATAGGCGCCTCCTGAAGGGCAACACTGCGAAACCCCTGCAGCTCGCAAAGCGGCTTTCCAGGTTTGGGTACGGGGGCGATGAGAGATCCACTCCAAATGACGGGCGCCTGATCACGCGAAAGCATTTTCAGAAATACTGGCGCGTGAAGACGCGCCGACGCAACAGGGCAACACTGAAACACGTCGGCAGGAAGTCCAGATAAGCCTGGCGCTCGTCTCTTTTTCATGCTGGCGAAAGCAAGGGCAGTCTGAGCAACAGCAGGCATGCCCTCAACAGCAATGCTGCCTCGCCCGCTTGCTGCATCATGCTTGTCATCAACTTGGACCTCACCGAAAGGAACCTCACGCGCATGCTCAGCTCTCGCAAAATGTCTTCCAAGCTCGTGTCTCACCTCCTGCGGATCATCGACAACCCGATTGCCAATTCTCAAGCAAGGCGACAACCTATGCGCCTTGTAGCGCCTCCCCGTCCGCAGAACCGCTCGCAGCAGCCCTGCCAACGCCGCTGAGCCTTCACGCCGAGCTTGCTCGAACATGTTCCTTGTAAAAACAGCTTCGTCTTCCTTGACGGCACGGCGTAGGGATATTCCAAGGGCGCGGAGAGTGTTCACAGCACACGCCTGTTGTAAAGACAACCGGACAAGGCGACTTCGATGCCGATGCTGCATCCGACGCGTTATCCTACCCCTCTTCCACGCCTGAAAGACCCAGTCGAGGACGCTCCTACTGTGTAGGCTCTTGATTCTGATGATGAGCCGCCGCGCTTGTCTCTTCTCAGAGATGAGGGCCCAAGAAGCATCAGACAAAACAGGATTGCGCGGCCTTCTGCTCCTAGGAAAAGCCCTAGCAAAGGAATTAAACAAGTACTCGTTCAGGCATTCAAGATGCTGGTTGACGTCAACGTGCCATGGTATCTGGGGAGCATTTGTGATGATTTGCTCAGCTTTGTCGCGTCCTTCGGGCGCAGACAACAGTTCAACATCAATGACAGCTGACCTGGCTCCCTTCCCAAACGTAAGAACTGCACAAATGTCAACCGCTACAGGGAAGTGATTATGTCCAGCATGTACGTCAAGCAGATCAAGCTCTTCAACAACGCGCGTGCCAGGCCCCCAAACCGAAGGAAAGGCGAGGTAATCCAAGCATGATGTCTGACAGCCATTCCCAGGATGAATCCAAGACACGATGGGTTGACCGCTTCGGTGAACATTTCCTGAGAACCCAAGATCAAACCGAGCGAGGATATCGGAGAATCGTTCAGCGTTGCTGCAATGATGTGCTGGTTCTTGCGTCCCAAGCTCAAAACGAGCGTTTGCATCTATGCACCACAATGGGATGTACCCCCTGGGAACTGCACCAACAACAACCGACAGCCTGTCCCAGAAGGCATCGCGCTCAGCCCTGGGGGCAACACTAGTGCAAGCGTGCGCAACAACGACGGCAAAGCGCTGTCCAAGCGCCTGTGCCCCAACAACCAGTATCCGCTCATCCGCGTGCAACACACGAAAAGCCGACCTGTCCCAACAAATGGCCGCCCCATCAGCATGCCAAGCAATGGGTCTACTGCAGTCTATCCAAGCCTGACAGCCAAGCCTTCCTTCAACAACCGGGCCAGCAATTTTGCAAATGTCATCTTGGAATCTGATGCTGTCAACTGTCTCCCTACACTCCTGCAAGCCAATCACATGGGCCTTAAGTCTACGCATCTCACTAGACAACGCCGCATTTTGACCCTTGCTGGCGAGGGATAAGGTGTTGTATGAAATCACCCGAAGGTCAAGCACCAATGCATGCTGGCTCTGCGTCGTTGCAATTGGTTCGCCAAAATTGCGCATTTCAAGAGGACTTTGTTTTGGAGCATATCGTCCAGCGCAGATGGGTTCGCCAAGTGCATCGCCGTCAACGCCAACTTTTGGAAGCTGCCAGTTAGCATCCCCTTCAGCAAACATCCACATCCAATCAAGCACCTTCTCGGCAAGCATATCATGTATGAGTGAGTCTGGCGGGGCATGCAGTCCACAACGTGTTTCAGCAGCAAAGCTCGCAAGGCTATCAGCAAGTTCATTCCCAGGACAACCTGAGTGTGATTTAACATGCTCCTGAAGAACACATTTGCCCTGGCTGCGCACAAGCGTCCATGCCGAAATCAAAGGCTCAACAATGGCCAGCTGTGACACATCTTGACAGTCCCCTACTGCGATCCCAGAAGCCGAGCGAGCGTCGTACAGGACATGAACGCACTCACAATCGCAACCTACCCCAATCAAAGCCGCGATAAACTGAGCGAAAAGCTCGGCCTGAAATGCCGAAGTCTGACCAGTGAGACAAAAGTCAGGGACGCAACCCGCCATGCACCCAAGCCATACATCCTCTTGGCCTCTACTGTCGAATGCAGCAGCAGACCATGCACAAACTCGTGAAGTGGGGTCAAAGGATCCATCAACAAACAACTTCAAGCATTGAACAGTCTCACCTGCCAACGGCGTTCTTGTGTTTGCCAGCAGCTCCCTGGCTGCAGGATGTAGCTTGCAAGTTGCCGGAATGTGCCTGCAGGAGCTGTCAAGTCTGAAATGTTTAGCAATGTGTTCAAGCATTTCAGCATTGATCCCAAAATGAACGGTTCTCTCAAATCGGGTCAGCTCAGGGATGAGCTCGGCGAGATTCAGAGTGACTGGAGTAGAAGCTCTGCCATTCTTGTCATCAGCGCAGGCATCGTTGCATCTCTTTGGGGCAGAACCATTCTCATGATGAAGGCTGCACGAACTCTCATCTGACTCAGAAATCCAGGTAACTTTCTTAGCTCCTGTACAAAAGGCAGGCAGGAATCGCCGCCTACTAGAGCACTCCTCTGAAACAAGAGGTCTAGGTCTCAAGTCGTCGGCACACTCAGCTTCCTGAGAAGACTGACCCAGTCCACAAGGGACCTGCGCGCGAACTCTGTTCTGCGCAGTGTGTCGCATCTCGGACTTTGAAAAAGTTTGGCCTCCGTCTTCGCAGGGCCTATTGCACCGAAGATCCCCAGGAGGAAGCCGAGGGTCACATAGCCCAAGGTCACACCCCAGGTCCCCAATTTTTACCACAAACTCATGCCACAAAGCCAACATGACAGCCATCCAAGTAGAAACAAAGTCAGATTCGGAGGCTACACTCAATGAGTTTGGGGTTGGGCCAAGCGGTATCTCATGGCAAACCTCATGGCCACGCTGTCTGCCTATGTCATCGCCATCCGCTAGTCGGAGGCGGCATCCATGCCTGATGTTTCGCCGAAGCCTCGACATCAGGCCTTGTGAGGGACTGAGGCCCCAGTGACAGGTGATTTTGTCACATCTATCACGGGGATGTCCTTGTCCCGCTCTTTGCGCCGCGGTGTCCTTTCCCGTGAATTTTGCTCCTGCTCGTCTGCTGCCTTCTTGGCTGCCTCGAGCATTGCTGCCATCTGCTCTCTTTGGACTTTCATGGCCGACTGCGTGGCCTCCCGACGTGCTTGTTCTTGAGCAGCTGCTTCGACTGTAGCATCCATGTCCTCTTCGTCCTCTTCCATGTCGGATACATCTACTGGCAATGAAGTGACCAAATCCTTTAGAGCAGGCGGCAGCTCGTCGCGGTTTTGCCTCAGCTGCTGCATGAGGTTTGCATAGGCACCATCCTCGGAGTCTTTGGCATCTAAAGCTGGCATCTTGGTCGATGGACTGGGGCTGGGCTTGGCCTTCGGCATGGCAGGAAGTTGTGCCACGGAGGGTGCCTCCTTGCATCCACCCTTTCCAGGCCTGGCTTCGTTCTGCCCTTGGTTGTTGCGTGAGCGCCTGGGCGATTTGCGAGGTGACCTGCGAGGCGACTTTGGCGCCTGTCCCTCCCAACCACCATTCCACACTCCGGCATTGTCCCATCCTATTCCCCAAGAGGATGCCGCTGCGCTTTGCCCCCACTGCTGTTGCTGCTGCGTCTGTCCTCTCCAAGGCGGTGCATTCGAGCGAGGGGCCGAGTAAGAGTCCGCTTCTCCTGCTGACCAGTGTACGCCACACTGACCACAGAAATGGCTGGACGCCTTGACAAACTGTCTGCAAGCCGGGCACTCCAACTCGTCATTCTGCTCGCTTGGTACGCGAAGTCTGTTGTTGATGCGTGTCTCTGTCTCTGTTGCCTTATGCGAGTGACAACTGCGGGAAGCTTGGACTGAGAGTGGTGTGACCGTAGCAAGTCTATCGCCCTCCCAACTGACGCCTCGAAAGGACTTCGAGCGCCTCCAGAAACAGTCCGCAACAGATGTCTTGCCCTCGTTCTTTGTCGCCTTTTCCGGCGATGCGCGGCAGTCTCTCCAGATTTGCCACGCCGGCAGCCGTGGAAATGTGTGAGTATCCGAATCGTGGTCTTTCCAATCTCCGAAGTTCGTTGACTGCTGAAGACAAACAGTGCAGAGAAAAAAGAGACTGATAATCTGGAGGAACAGGCAGTCCACTCTCATGCACAGTTTGATTGAAGATGAGATTGACGAATGTGCCCGACAAGAAACTCGTGAGCGCGAAGCCTGATGGGCAAATCGAATTGCAGCCAGCAGATCGCCTCACCAAAAGGAAAAACCTGTGGTCGCGGGCACGTTGAACGTGCCACGCCTGGGGTCGTAAGGCCAGCGATAGGGAGGGATCCAGACCTTGCCGGAAAACTACCTTCCTATGCTCGACCAGAAACGCCTGGGTTTAGGGTTTAGGGTTTCGGGCTTGTAGGCTTAGAGGCTTGGGGTTTAGGCTTTGGGGTTTAGGGTTCAGAGGTTTCGGGCTTAGGGTTTCGAGGTTTATGGTTTGGAGGTTTAGGGGTTCTGGGTTTAGAGGTTTCGGATTGGGAGGTTGAGGATGAGAATCATACGAATAATGCGAGTAGTACTACTCCTGCAATTCAAGGTTGAGGGTGTTCTTGTGTTGTTGCTGTCTTTTTTTTTCCGGGCTGCGTACTTGAGAGCGGCTTATGGGGATCCTGGGGGTTGTGTTGTAGGGCGTTGCCGTGTGAGGGCTCTGGGCTTCAAGGTGGATGTAAGAATTTTGTTTTGGGGTTGGGGGTTAGAGCGTTTGAGGGATGAAAATCGGGGGTGCTAGAATCCCTATGAAGGACTGTTTGTATAGGTCAAGGTACGAGTGGATGTGTTTGTTGCTGTGGGGTCTTTGGGAGGGCCCTAAACCCTAAACCCTAAACCCTAAACCCTAAACCCTAAACCCTAAACCCTAAACCCTAACTTGAAGGGGTAGGGGTGAGACAACACTGACGTAGGCCCGGGCTCAGTTACCGAGGCAACTCCTCACGAAACCGACAAACCCTGCGCCCTATGGCTTGAGGGCTGTGGGTTTACGGTATAGGGTATAGGGTTTAGGGTTTAGGGTTTAGGGTTTAGGGTTTAGGGTTTAGGGTTTAGGGTTTAGGGTTTAGGCTAGAAAGTTGTGCATCAAACCTGAGGAAAAACGACTCTTGAAGATGTCCCTCTTTGCTTTCGAGGTGAACGTGAACCCAAGAAAGCATCAGAAGCCCAAAACTGGGTTCCCGAGCTGCACAAACCGCAAGCACTTTCTGTCTAGGGTTGAGGGTTTGGGGTAAATCTCACCTGAACCCTGAACCCTGGGTAATTTCCAACTCGGGAGCCTACAAAACGTGAACCTCAGCTGAGGACGTCGGAAGCTACACTCAACCGTTAACCCTAAACCATGAACCCCCTAAACCCTAAACCCTAAACCCTGAACCCTGAACCCTAAACCCTAAACCCTAAACACCCAACCCCCCGAAACCCTGAACAAGGCCTTTGAGTTCGCCGATATCCCCGCCGTAGCGCGGCGAGCCCCAGCAGACGAGGGTGCCGTCAAACCTGGAGATGGCTTAGGGCTTGGGTTTTAGGGTTTAGGGTTTGGGGTTTGGGGTTTTGGGTTTAGGGTTTCGGGTTTAGGGTTTAGGGTTGAGGGTGTATAAGAAATTGTATAGGGTTGGGTTTTGGCCAGGCGTTGAGCGTTCTTTGGAGCATCTGGGCCCTTACCCTAAACCCTAAACCCTGAACCCAAAGTTTGATGTGGCAGTTTGGGCTTCTATGTTGCTTGGGCGTGTTTTTGGGTGAAAATCTTGGGCGGGTTTATGGCGGGTTTCGGTTGTTGCTTTGCAAGAGGCTCTGGGGAGTTTTGGGGGGCCTCTGATGGAGAAATCTTAGAGACTGCCTGGCGCTTGCGTTGTTCGCTAGTGGCGTTTGGGCATATTGGGAACCCCACTCCTCGTAGGGCCTTAAGGGCTTGGTGTATGGCTCCGGCTGTACGCAGGGAGCCCACTACCCTGTTTTGCTAAGCAAGACACCTCATGTAATGATAAAAATGCCTATATCGGTTAGAGGCATGTTCCTTGAATATGTGGTAGGCTCCCACTCACCTCACATCTTCAAATTTCTAAATACCCCCAGACTTTGCGGTTCAAGTTCAAGGTTTGGTCACAAATCCTAAGCCCCAAGCACTCCCGAAAGCAGAGCAGCCCTCAACCCTAGCCCTAAACCCTAAACCCTAAACCCCAAATCCTAAACCCCAAACCCTCAACCCTAAACCCTCAACCCTGAATCCCACACGCCTGAGAGCTGCGAAGGCCTCGCGCGTCGCGTGGACTTCGCGGACCTCTGGTCGGAGGAGGGCTTTAGGGGACTTAGGGCCAAGGGTTTAGTGGGCTAAGGGTTTAGGGTTTAGGGTTTGGGGTTTAGGGTTTAGGGGTTGGGGTTTAGGGTGTAGGGTTTAGAGGTTCAGCATCTCAAGTCCAAGCGCTTCACCAGCAGAGCTCCTTACTCCGGTATCGAATATCGACCCGCCCACCCATTGATGGATCCCATAACATTATGAAACTATTCACCTGGTTCGATTTTGCAAACCCCTTCACCCGGCGCGCTCAAGATTCAAGATTTCTCATTCTGGCATCCCGGGGGGACCGGGACGATGTCCCGCGGGTGTGGGCGTTCCGGCAATTGGCGGGACGACTGTTCTGGGGGTGTCTGGGAGGGTCCCTGGACAACTGCAGCGGGGGGGTCCGGGGGGGTCGCAGGACGTTTGTCCGTGAATTGTTGGCGCTTGTCCGCGAATTGTTGGCGCTCGTCCGCGAATTGTTGGCGCTTGTCCGCAAATTGTTGGCGCTCGTCCGCGAATTGTTGGCACTTGTCCGCGAGATGTTGGCGCTTGTCCGAAATGTTAGCGCTTGTCCGCGAATTGTTGGCGCTTGTCCGCGAAATGTTGGCGGAAAACCGCGAATCCATTAGCCATTCAATATACATAGGATAGAGAGTGTTAATGTTAAGGGTTTAGCAGGGTTTCAGGGGGAGGGGGGGGGGGGGGGTTCAGGGTTTCAGGGCTTA